AAAGTTCAGGAACCACATTATATATTAGGCTAAAGTTCATGGACCATATTGCATATTGGGCCAAAGTTCATAGACAATTTGTGTCATATTCCCGAACATAAAAGCACTGGAATTGTAAAGATACAAGGCAGAAGAAGATGAAAAGACCATGAAAAATTTGTAGATTCAAGTGACACTCCAATCCGCATGCTTGATCGGTGTTAGCTCACGACTTCTCATGTCCAACACTTGGTAAAATTCACAACAATTAATTATTCATAAGGCTTCATCGCTTGACCCCAATACTTGTCCATCATCCTTCGCTCCTTGTCGATAATATTACAAAAAGTTGATTGTTTTTTGGTGTATTATATTAGGTATCGATTTCCACAGTAAACCTTCATACTGGAAAAGGACACTGACCTCTCATATACTGTACTAATGAAACAGATTTCCGAAAGTCCACAGAAAACTTGTTGCTAATTACCCAAAGTGAGAAGCAAAAATATTGACATAGGAGTTAAACAACAGATATATAACTGGCAGATTTTAAAAGTCATAAAAAAGAATTAGAAATCAATCAACCCTCACAAAGAACCACGTGGTAGATCGAAGATGTCTGAAAATATTTATAAAACGGCAAATGTATGTCAGAACTAGAGACATAATAGGGCAAAAGGACACTATAAGTGCCATAACTTGTGTACGGAGATCACTTTGGTGCCATAACTTTTTTTCGGATCACTTTGGTGCCAAGTCGGAGGAAAAACGATCACTTAAGTGTCATAAGTTTTTTTTGGATCACTTCAGTGCTAAAATTTTTAAAAAACGATCACTTAAGTGCTAAAATTTTTGAAAAACGATCACTTAAGTGCCAATCTCCGGTGAGCCACGTCAGCTTCAGAAATTAATAAAAAAAATGCCACGTCGGATTTCCGGCGAAAAATTGTGTACGGCACCGGAGTTGGCACTTAAGTGATCGTTTTTCAAAAATTTTAGCACTAAAGTGATCCAAAAAAAACTTATGGCACCAAAGTGAGCGCCGTACACAAGTTATGGCACTTGTAGTGTTCTTTTGCCGACATAATAGAGTCCATATTGCTTAGCAAAAGGTAAACCGAATTTGCTCCTGAAAATCTTCAAATTACTCTCGATTACGGGTGATTGATTCCCACACGATTCAGTATCCACTCAAGAACCAGAGACCGGATTAGAAAGGTCGGTTCCCAGTTTCTAAAATCGGAAATCGGCCCACTTAATCCTGGAACCGAACTAGACCAGATTGGTCGGTGTGGTTCGGTTTCCGGGTAGGTCGATGAGCCGGTGGCATTTTCTAAGAAATTTGTTCAACATTGAGCGACCCACTTCAGAAAAAGAAAGAACTACGCATCAGCGAAAAATTAGAAGCTAAAAAGAAACAAAATTCCTCGAAAAGCTGGAAACCAGAGACGGACTTCTAAACTGCATTAGACTATTCATCCAAGCATAAGAATACCGTCCACCTCTCGCTATAACTTCTAAGATACACCCAGCTCAATGCTTTCTGCATATCCTCAACATAAATAACCAAGATGCCTACACTTCTCCGAACCGATCACTCCCTACTCCAACGAAGGAGATCTAGACGCAGCATCAAAATTGTTTCGGTGTACGAAGAACAGCAAAAAAAGAAAAACGGAGCATTGGATATTTACCTCGATGAGATGCGATCATGATCACGATCGACCAAAAACCGAGCAAGAGAGGGAGGCGAGAGTCTAGCGAGAGAGTGAGACCGCAAAAGGGAGGCGAGAGTCGAGCGAGGGATGCGAGCGACTCAGGCGAGAGGATGGCATCTGAGAGTCGTGCGAGAGAGTGAAATCGTGAGAGGGAGGCAAGAATTGAGCAAGAGGGTTTGTGCAAGAGGCGTGAAGAATGCGAGAATGCGATTAGGGTTTCTTGAAGAGGGTGGCATATGAACCGGCCGGTCTGGGTGAAGGATTTGGGATTTTTAGTTTTAACTGACTTGTGAAAAATTATTTTAAAAAAAAATCAGTCCGATCCGAGTAATCTGGATGGGTGGTTCCACATATGGAAGCGAAACTGGACAAAAAATCACTAGTTTCCTGGAACCAGATCGGTGCTCTAGGAACCACCCAAAACTGGCCGATTCAATCCGGTCCAGTTTTCCCTTTGCTCACCTCTACTCCGGTAGTGGGGTGACTCTATGCACGGGGCAGTGACCAAACACAATAAGCACTAAGCACTAAGCATGCTACTACTTTCATCTAGCATCTGTAATCGTACCAACCATTTTGCTTGTGTTCCTGTAGTGAAGGATGAGGACCTGGATATGATGATGGCCCTTGGACAAGACCAGCTCTTAGCTTCCGATTAATGTCACTGTTTTGCCTTGCATGGTTTTTAGGAGAATTAGCACTGCTGAGTTTGGCCCTTTAAGTTGGCTCAGTAGAATTTCTATCCAACTGTTTATAGTAGAATTAGGCGCATAGCATCATTTCGTATTTCGACAAATATAGCCAACAATTTATGGCTTGCTCAGGTTGAATAGAAACATTATTAGAAGTCAGGGTTAAGAATGTGATTATTCCTCTCACATGGCTCACACATGAACGGTCCATCGCAAATCTCTCCTTGCTTTCAGGATCCCTCTCGTATCAATGGCTCATATACCGCCAACTAAAAAATGTGTCCCTCGATTCGGTGTTGTCATATTTTGCCCGATTTTTCAACATTGAATTTTGTTTTACTTACGAACTCAAGGGTGGTAGCTCTTGATACGACACCAGCGTTACAAGTTCGAAACCGACATAGCCCGACAACCTTGTTATTTGTTAAAAAAGACTGACACTGAGACATTTCGGTACTGATAATAAATGAAATGTATAATTAGTACAAGGATTAATATCACGAAATCTCCAAACTAATACACATATGATAAATTAACCCAAACTAATTTTTGGGTCACGAAAAACCCCAAACCGCTATAGTTGTGACGAATATACCCAAAACTAATTTTTTTGTCACCAAAAATCCCAAACTGGTACACTTGTGACATATTTACCCTCCATTAGCTTCCGTCAAATTTTACTTGAAACAATTGAGCTGGATGATACATGATAATAACTCAATTGACATGGCACGTCCATGTGGAAATCCATATTAATTTAGAGTAAATTTATCATAGGTGTACCAATTTGGGATTGTCAGTGACCCAAAAATTATTTTGGAGTAAATTTGTCACAAGTGTACCAATTTGGGGTTTTTTGTGGTATGAATCCTAAGTACAAATTGAAAGACACAAAATGAAGAGACAAAGCTATAAAGTAAGAGATGCTTTTAGAAATTGACATGATGAATATATGTGTACATGAATTTTTAAAAGATAATTGAGATGATCCTTATTACATCTAAATTGTAATGAAGCAATTCACAACATCATCTTTCTCTCTCATACATTTAGATGAGAAGTTTCCTCCCTAATTGCGTTGAAGGATTCCATGGAAAACAAATATCAAAGTCTCCAGTGTTCTCGTTGAACCTACAAGGACCATTGGGAGAGATTTGCCAGACACACAAAGAGCACTGATGTTGGTCTCTTTTTTGCACATATATATCAAACCTCTTAAGTTGACCCGGCCATGCAAAGATGCAAAAGAATAATGTCGTCCCAAAGAAATTAGGATGGAAGGAGAATTTCCATTTGCTCGTTATATCTTGGACTCCAAGATCATCCTCCTTGGATTTGCAATGGACTGTTAGAGTAACTCCACCCGGCAAATTGTTATCGATCTCAACATATGTCTTTCCCCAAACATCTCCCACACAACTAGTAAGCAATAAAGAACAAATAAATATGAGCTTAGCTGATGAATTCATCATGGTGGGATATTGTTGCTCCGACATCAACATCATTAAGCTATATATGGATGAAGAATAGAGCATAACAAATTTTGCCAGCTTGCCACAACCATATTACCTTTTTTTCTTTTTCTCCTTTTTTACTATAAGAATTGTTATATTATCTCTTTTTTCCCCTTCTTTTATAGCCTAGTATAAGAATTTTCATATTACCTTTTATATTCTTTCCCTTTTACTCTGGCATAAGAATTACCATATTGCCCTTTATTTTTCTTCTTTTTTACTTTGGGATAATAATTGCATATAAAATTAGCTACAAATCAAGATTAATATCTTGTGTATGGCTTAATCAAAGGAAAGAAAATGACCACTTTGTTGTAGCTGTTATCAAGAAAATGAAACAATTACACTTTGCAGATGCCATGTATTCACGGATCTCTCTCTCTGTTTTCCATGAAACGTTAGTCGAATGCCCATGCTGATGTAAGGTATGATCCTTCTTCCTCACAATATACGCTAGTTGGTAGAAAGGAAAGAGGATCAAATAGTAGAAACAAAGATGACAACAATATAGTGCCTTCTGATAATAGATTTGCTCCTTTGGAAGTGGAGGCTACTTCGGATTGTTCTGTGGATACATTAGGGGCGTTGGGGGATGTAACGGAGCCTCCTGATTTATGAATATTGTCGCATGGAATGTAAGGGGCCTTAATCATAGCCCCAAGAGAAGGGAACTGGTGGAGTTTGCTCTATCCCTAGATTCCCAAATTCTTCTTTTGTTTGAGCACAAGATTAAAGAAGCGAATGCTGATTTTATAATTGACAGTAGTTTTAGAAGTTGGAGTTATACTCATAACTATATGTACAGCAACTTGGGTAGAATATGGATCCTATGGAAACCGTCCACGCTTAGTCTAACTGTTTTGGAGGTATCTGCCCAAGTCATACATTGTCTCATTGAAAAACCTGGGGTGGAACCTTTTTTGCTATCTGCCATCTACGGATACAATACCGAAATTGAGCGGAGGCTTCTATGGCGCAATATTTCAAATTTTTCTTTCGGACAAACAAGAGACCTGCCTTGGTTGTTAATGGGGGATTTCAATGAAACAAGGGACACAAGCGAAAGGATTGGCTCGACTGTTCGTTGGACTACAGGTATGGAGGAACTAAATACCATGATTGAAGAACTTGCACTTATTGAACCTCTGTCTACGGGACCTTTCTTCACATGGACAAACAAAAGCATGGGAGATAATTTCAAAGCGAGCAAAATTGACAGAGTCCTGATTAATGCAGAATGGCAGAACAAATACAACCACTATTCAGTTGAATTCCTGTTTCCAGGAGTTTCAGACCACTCCCCTTGCTTGGTGCGACTTGACACCACATATAGGAGAAGGAAACCTTCTTTCAAATTCTTTAATTTCTGGACCACTAGCCCGGGTTTCCTGCCTTTGGTGTCCACTTGCTGGCAACAGGTTATCAGAGGATCTAGAATGTTCACAGTGGTGGCAAAGCTCAAAGCACTGAAACAACAACTCAAGGGACTGAATATATCTCAGTTTGGTGACTTACACTTAAAGGTCAAACAAGCTAAGGAGAACCTAAAACAACTTCAATATGAGCTTGTGATTGACCCCTTTAATCCCATTACTCGGGCGGAAGAAAAGGCGCAGCTGGAGGAGTTACTTGTTCTTAGTAGACATGAAGAGGTTTTGCTTAAGCAGAAATCTAGAAATCTATGGCTGAAGGAGTGTGACAATAATAGTAAGGTTTTCTTTGCCTCCATGATGCGGAGGAGTGCCTAGAACAGGATCAATCATATCAAACTCGAGGATGGCTCTACTATTACCGAGGAGGGTGCTCTCAAGAATGCAATTATAATGTATTATCAGCTTCTCCTTGGAAATCCCAGTCTTACTAGCATTCCATATGAGAGATATGCTTCTTTATTTCATGAAGATATCAATACTCTTGTTACCTTTCCTATAGTTCAGAGATCAGAAATCCTCAGAGTCTTAAAAGGTTTCAACGACTTTAAAGCTCCGGGTCCAGATGGCTTTAATAGTCTATTCTACAAAAGCGCTTGGCACATCATAGGGAAAGACATTGAGGAAGCTATCATGGAATTCTTCTCGTCAAAAAGAATGCTGAAGTCTATAAATTCCACGTTGATTACACTCGTACCGAAGGTTCAGAATCCATCTTTCCTCAAGGAGTTCAGACCCATTTCTTGCTGCAATGTCATATACAAGATCATATCTAAGCTTCTTGCAGAACGGATTAGTTGCATGCTTCTGAAGATTGTTGGCCTCAACCAAATTGCTTTCATCAACGGACGATAGATCTCGGAGAATATTCTGCTATGCCAAGACCTTCTACACAACTACCACAAGGGAGGAAATGGTAAACGGGTGGCAATAAAGATTGACCTCATGAAAGCCTTTGACATGGTAAAATGGGATGCAGTCCTCGGGGTTCTCAAAGCTATAAATACTCCTCACGACTGGGTTGCTCTGATAGCTGAATGCATTACTACTCCGACATTTTCAGTGAACTTCAATGGTGAGCAGGTTGGCTATTTTAAGAGTACGAATGGGCTGCGACAAGGAGATCCACTTTCTCTATACCTTTTTGTAATGGTTATGGAAATCTTAAACAGAATTATTCGTGCGAGAGTTGCTGCTTCTTCTTTCAAGTATCACTGTCGTTGCAAAACGCAACGAATCACACACGTATGCTTCGCAGACGACTTGCTATTATTTTCCCATGGAGATGTAGATTCCATCATTTGCCTTGTAGACGCCCTAAATGAATTTGCAACTCTCACAGGACTGCGTTTCAACTCGGACAAATGTCAAATCTTTTTCTCTGGGTTGAATGAGGATGAGAAGCACCTTATACTGGACCACACGCCTTTTTCTACAGGTACCCTCCCCATCAAATACTTGGGTATCCCACTTGTTACCAGAAGACTTACCCACACAGACTGTAAGAGTCTTACTGATAAGATCTTCAAGAAAATTGAAAATTGGGGCATGAAGCATATCAGTTATGCAGGGCATCTACAGTTAGCCAAATCAGTCCTCATCTCCATATGCACCTATTGGATGCAAATGTTCCTACTTCCAAAGCACACTATATACGAGGTTGAGAAGAGGATTAGACAATTCTTATGGGCTGGTAATTCAGCAAATCATGGCTCGCACAAGGTTGCATGGCAAGTAGTTTGCTCACCTAAAAGGGAAGGAGGATTAGGATTGCCTAATTTGAACTTATGGAACAAAGTATTGCTAGGTCACATGCTGTGGAATCTTATCAATCTTCCATCCTTTTCCCTTTGGAGTACTTGAGTTCACAACACCAAATGCAGAGGCACCCCAATTTTGCAGCTCGACATCAAGGGCAGTATGGCTTGGAGCTGGAGATGTCTCCTCAAACTACGACCCGTTCTAACATCGATTATACCGAGCCCAAAATACTGTTGGCAAGATATAAATGATGAACTCAGACATGTGAGACCAGCTGTGGAGTGGTATAACCTAATTTGGACCAGCGGCATTAGCAAATACAATTTTATTGGTTGGCTAGTTTGCAGAGATAGACTACCTACAGCAAGAATCGTCGCACAATGGATACCTTCAGTTGATATTCAGTGTAATTTGTGTAGGGCTGGTATTGAAGACAGAACACATTTATTCTTCGAGTGTGAATGGACAAACAACATATGGCGTTGTATCCTAGCACAACATGGGATCAGGCGCCTTTTAGGAGGATGGAATGAAGAACTTCAATGGATGATTATGGCAACAAAAGGCAAAGACTTGGCAGCAAGACTCCTCAAGTTGTCCTTTCTAGAAACCATATATTGCATTTGGATGGAGCGCAACAGCAGACGGTTTCAAAACAAGTCAACTGACTTTCATATTCTTTTGGCTAAGGTTCGTAAAAATGTCAGAGGTAGAGCTTAGCTCTACCAAAAAATTAGACCTTCCCAGACAAATGTTATATTAGCTACTATATGGAGACTTCCTACCTCCATCTTTTTGAATTATTAGCACTTTTTGTATTGCTGGGGATGCCTCTAAGCTGCTGTACTTCATCTGGTTTATAATACTGACATTCACACAAAAAAAAAAAAAAACTAGCCGGTACAGTCTATCCTTTTCTGTTTCAAGTCTGTTCTTCAATGTTGGAGCAGTGAAATTATATGTTGGTAAAATCCAATCTCAGGATATATCAACTATTATTGCTTTTGAAATTATCGTTTGACCTCATACATCATCGGGAATTTAAGCTCAAATTCATTACGGGGTACTGTCCCATCTGGACTTGGGGAAAATGTCATTGCACGACAGTAAGTATCAGAAATTGATTGTCACGTCTCATGGGTAAATCATGATTTTTGCGGTTACTGGCTTAAGCTCGACCCAGTTCTTTATCGGCATCTATATTTATGAAGCTAGTTTACGACAAGCTCGAAATGAATCTTGAAATGTTAATCCTCTATGCTTATTTTAATTGTAGAAGTGACTGCCCACGAAGGAGCTGAACTTGCAGATTTTCTTCTCTTCTGATCTTATCTGGGTTACATTAATAGATGAAAAGCAAATGCTACATGTTGCCTTTTCTTTGCTCGTGTTCATTTTATTTGAATCGATTTATATTTTGAGTTTTGTTTAATAATATCATTGAAGTGTAATGAAGTTGGAGCATATTAGATAGAGACCCAATCTCCTCAGCTGAATATGTTCTCCCTCTCTCTCTTTCAAATATGATGTTTCTCTAAGTTATACCTTTGATTGATGCTACAGCTAAGGACACATCGGTATTTTCTTCTAAATTATCCTGTTTAACATTGACATATTTAGGGATTTGTCAGGCAATCAGTTCACTGGCTCAACACCAGACAGTCTAGCTTCTTCAAATATGCAACTCGTGTAAGTACTTTGTCTCCAATGGTTCCATATCATATGATATATTACCCGTCCTATTTTTATTGTGTGTGAGAGAAATAGTTTGAGCATTGCCCTTTAATCTGTCAAATCTAATTTTCTTCTCTCTCTATTCTAGGCTATTGAATGATAACCTACTGGAAGGGAAGATCCCGGAGGGATTTTATCCTCACTTTGACGTCTTATTTTTTTTTTTTTTTTGTTTAAAGACTGGCTATCTTACCATGAAATGAAAGTGCTGCGCTAGTGTTCTCGTCTGCTTTTGTGAGAGCGTCAGTCATCTTCCCATGTACTTGTGTCTTCTTTTGACCTGTAATATAGTCCAGCTTATGCAATAATATTGTGTTCCAGTTGCTTGCTTGTAATGCATTTGTTATGCTGTGACATTGGTTCAATATTTGTGGCGATGAGCCCTCTGGGTGTCTAATCGTTCAATAGTCACATCATCTTTAAATCTTCTCTCTCTCTCTGTGTGACAGTGTGACCTGTAAGATTTTGCTCTGGATCTGCTGTCTGCTTATGGAACTGCTGCTCTTCTTGACCTTCTAAACCGGTTGGTTTTTGTCGTTTTTCCTTTTTCTTCCTCTTCTGGTGCATGTATGAACAAGCGCGGGAGTTGGGGTTGGGGCCCATGGATTGGGAAATGGGGTGTGAACAAAGTGTTCATGGGAAGATAGTACAGGTTTCCAAAATGGCGGATCTTGACCAAGTTTACATTTCCATTCCAATGGACGCGTCATATTCTTTTTTGGAGTCTCGAAGACGTGACTTTCCCTCATGTACTAAGTAGTAATCTGCTTCCTAGATGAAAGTGAGTTGTGGGATTTTATCACTCGGATCTTCATGGTCTATCTGCTTACGGTCTGTTTTAGGCGATAAGGAACATAACTGCCATTTTGTAAACATAAACATTGATTCCTCCTAAAGCGATCACCTTCTGATTGTTGTTCCCGCTTGCTGCCCAAGTTTTTGAATAGGCAAATGATACAAACAGTCCCTGAACTTTGATTCAATGTACAATTTGATCCCTAAACTTTTAATTTGTATAATATAGTCTCTGAACTTTAACCTAATGTTCAATGTAGTTTCTGAACTTTCAATTTGTCCAATGTGGTCCATGAACTTTTGATACAAGTTCAATTTAGTCCCTGAACTCTATAAAAATGTTCAATGTAGTCTTCCCATTAATTTAAATTCAGGGACTACATTGTACATTTTTATATAGCCTAGGAATAAAATTGAACATATACCAAAGTTCATGGACCACATTGAACAAATTAAAAGTCCAGGGACTACATTAAATATTAGGCTAAAGTTCAGGGATTACATTGAATAAATTAAAAGTTTATGGACCAAATTGCATATTGAGCCAAAGTTCGGAGACTGTTTGTGTCATTATCCCTTTTTGAATTTGAATGGCTAGCATTACCTTTGGGAGCCTTAAGCGCAGCCTCCTTGGGCAAGTACTCGTTGAAAAATTCTACATTCAGGCTTTTTTCCACTGGCATGCTTTCATATTTGGATTCGAGCATCTTCCATTAGGAGAAAAATTACAGCATGAGTCACTAAATATGATTCATAGTTGTGAAACTTGATGAGAGCTTATGCTGTACGTTGTGAATGGATGTACTTTTGCGGAGCTGCTCTCAAGGAATCTTTCCTGGGGAAAAAGAATAGGATAGACATGGTTTAATAACATGTAGAGATGTCTGCTAGGACCTTCATTCACTGATTCGGACATGGCAATGTAGCCTGAGCATTGACTACTCATACTTGGCTGTCACATTGTTTACAAAGATCAGAGTGTTGCTTATCCTCTTTTTCTTCTAAATCGTCTTGTTATTAATTCCCTT